TAACTAATTTAATATGTTGATGTAGTAATGACTCATATTAAGTCAAAATAGCTCTTCTCTGATCACTGATCAGTCACACGACTCGTGTGACAAGTCACACGACTCGTGTGACTAGTCACACGACTCGTGTGACTAGTCACACGACTCGTGTGTCTTACTCACACGACTCGTGTGAAAAATGCGAGAGTGACATTGGAAAAACTAGGAAGATTTTTTTATGTCACACGACTCGTGTCACACCTCACACGACTCGTGTGAGGTGACACGACTAGTCACATGACTCGTGTGACTTTTCACACGGGTCGTGTGACCCCACACGACCGGTCACATGAGTCGTGTCATCTTGCACGACTCGTGTTTTCGAATACTCTATTCGATTTTTATTCCAGTTTGTGTTTTTAACAATTTTTCAAATCAAAATCTGATTTTAAAGATGCAAATTGTAACATGGCTCTGATTCCACTGTTGGGTTCGATATACTGTACGGAACAGAGTTTACAGCGAGATTTAAAATTTTATAAGTATTTATCTTATAAATACTTATTTCGTACATAAGTATAACGAGATAACGAATAAGCATCATTTAAAATCTAGTAACTTTTACTAATTTTGATTTGATATGTAATTTATAAAAATTACCTTTGTTCTTGAACTCCTTCAAAACCGACGATGTATGAGGAAATCAATTCCCGGTTTGGTAACGATCACTTCTTGTGGTTACTCACTTTAGGAATCCAAATGTCTTCCCTCTAATCGTATCCACCTTTTGAAGTCCGGTTCCGACAATAGTTCCTTCGCTAGTAGAAACTACTCGGTTTTATTCAATAAGTATGGAATATATATGTATAAGGAAATTTTTCAAGAACACTTTCTTGTATTATCACTCAACTCTTTGAATGAATTTTCTCTTGGAAGAATTTAGCTCAAAACCCTAGCCTTTAATGTGCAAACATTTTGTACCTATTTATACTAAATATTTTAGCATAAAATAATCAATATTTGATATATTTTATTTTAAATAAAATCAGATTTTATTTAGATTATCATACCAAATCTTGACTTTTAATTAATAATGTGATTGGTTTATAACTACCATCAATCATTATTATTGTATTAATAAAAATAAGATTAATTATGTGGATTGGTTAACAACTCCAAACCACTATAATTAATTATTCTTATTATTATTTAATCTTCAATCATATTAAAGATAAATAATAAAATAATAATTCTTGAAAATATTTTTCAAGACTTTATTATTTTAATCTATTCTTCCATTTCCTTATTTAATAATCTTATTATTATTTGGATTTGAAATTTAAAATCCAATTTTAAATTCCAACTATTAATTAGTAATTCCATTAATTACTAAATTAATATCAAAAATTAAATTAATCAATCTAATTGATTAATTTAATATATTCTTTTAATTGATATCTAATGAAATTAGATTTGTCAATTAATTCTAACTCTTTAGAAAT